GGGGAAAGGAAATCAGATGTTGTGTGCGAGGAGCGCTGGTAGGAGCAGCAGAAAGCCGGGGCTGATAGCAGTCCTTCCCCTGGAGGAAGCAGCTCCATGAAATATTGATGGGATTCACACACAGCAGACGAGCTGTGTGAGCTGCATTGCAGAGCTGGGAGCCGTGCAGCCGGAAAGGCAGCGGCAGCTGGGTAACGGGAAAAGCTCCTTCCCACATCCCCTCCTTTTCCCACATCCCCTCCTTTTCCCACATCCCCTCCTTTTCCCACATCCCCTCCCTGCTGGAGCAGACCGGTCCCGGTGCCCTCAGTGCCCGAGCACCAGGCAGGGGGGGTTGGGTTGGGATCTGAGCAAGGTGATCCCATTCCTGCCCCGTCTCTGGGGGCCACCGAAGACCCTGGGCTGGTTTCTTGCGTCCCTGTTGCCTCCCCATGGAGTTGTCCCAGATTTTGTGGGGCCACGTGGCTGCTGGTGGTGGCCACGCGCCGGCTCGTGTGTGTCCCTGCCCCATCCCAAGCGTGGCCACCACCAGCACCAGGACACAGCCAGAGCAGGGGCTCCGAGCTCAGCCTTGGGATCCTGATCCATGGTGGGATCAGTCTGGATCACCAGGGATGCCCCAGTGCTCAGGGCAGTGCCACCAGCGCCCCTGGCTGTCCCAGCCAGTTGGGCCCAGCAGGACTCAGCTGTCCCCCAGCCCTGCCGGGTGGCTTTTGCTCCTCTGATTCCTTCCCGTTGCCCGGGAAACGATGGGATGCGGCAGGGATCTGATTTGCCCGGGCAGCAGACGTCACACAGGGACAGGGGGGAAAAGGACAGCGCGGTGTCAGGGCTCCTACTGCCTCGGGAGGGGGCTCTGCCCCAAATCCAGCCACCAGGCGGGCTCAGACGTGCGTGGCCCTGGATTCCTCACCCATCCCATCCCTCAGTGAAAGATGGAGGTGGCTGTGGAAAGATTCCATTTCCTGCCTGTCCCACTGGAAAATGCTTGTTTCCCCATCCTGGTTCTCCTGGACGGATCCCATCTTCCAGGAGCGTCACTTCTGCTGGAGCTGTGGCAGCCAGCCGTGTTCCCAGTCCATCCCTGTGTAGGAGCAGCTTGGAGGAGAGCACCTGGAGCAGGCCCAGCTGCTTCCAAGCTGCAGGAATACCATCCCACCGGTTATCCCAGAAGAGATGTGGTGCATTGCCTGGCAGAGCTTGTCTGCCTGGAACCACCTCTCCACCCACACCACGACCTCCAGCACTTCCCATCCCGATGGGAAACCTGTGGCTGCTGCAGACAGACCTGCTCCCACCCAAGCACCTGCCTTTTTGGGAATCATCCAGACCGGAGGATGCTGTGGGATTTCCCCTGTGGCCCTTCCTCCTGTTCTTCCTCCCAGGCACAGACTCAGTAAACCTCACTCATCCAACAGCCAGGCCTTTTCCAGGAGCAGGAGCTGCTCCTGTGAGACCCCTGAGCACAGCCCTACCCAACCCTCTCCCCTCCATGCTCCACTTTTCCTACAGATGGAGCATGTTTGGACCCATCCTTTAATTCCCAGGTTTCTGTTTCCCGTGGAGCTGGTGTTCCAGCTAGGATATAACTTCTATATCCTGCCTGAGCCATGAGATGCTTAATTCCAGTACCTGGAGTTACTTCCTAGTTCTCAGCTCACGTGCACCCAATTACACCCCTTGTTGGGCAATTAAATTTATATGAGCAACTGCCTATCAGAGCTGAAGCAATTAATTAGAATTAAGTGCTTTTAGGGGAAATAAGCCCTTGCCTTATTCCCAAATACAAGGAGGAGCGTGTCCATGTGAGCTGTGCTGCTGTGGCCTGCCCTGGTGTGTTGTGCCTGCTCAGGACTGGCAGGGCCTCAAAGTGGCAGCTCTAGCAAGATGTTTTTTTCTTTTCCTCCAAAAAACCCCACTGATTTTAGGACCTACCTGCTCCAGACATCAGCAGTTTGCAGTGCTCTCCCTCCAGGCTCGAGGCAGCCCCAGCACAGGGGTCTGGGGGAGAGAAGAACCTGCTGCCCCACTGCCACGGGTTTCCAACCCCGAATCTCCCTGGGAACACCCACCCCAAGGGAGGAGGAGACTGTCCCAAAATCCCTCTGCCCCTTTCCCTGGCAAGGCAGCATCCCAACCACCCCCATCGTGCTCATTTATCACCTTCCTCCTCCTCCTCCTCCTCTCCCCACCCACTGTCAGGAGCCCTTTCTCACCTGTGTGGGGGCATCTACCAGGCTCCTCCCTCCTTCCCCAGGGCCTTTTCCAAAGCACCGGTTTTCCCCCATCAACATTTTGCCCCTCGTTTCTATTCCTGTGGAATATCTGGGGCCAGGGTTCCCTCAGAGCCCCAGGTTGTTCCTTTCCACAGCTGGCACTGTTGGGTCACCGGGATCCATCCACTCCTGGGGTAACCTCTGACCTCCCACCCTCCATCCCCACTTATCCCACCATCGCCAGCAGCTCCATGACATCCGTCCTCAGGGATCCAGTGGGATCATCAGACACCCAAACCCTGGCACGAGGATAGCCCCCAGCCCCACCAGGTCACATCCCACCCCGCTGGACCACTGTGGCCCTGCTCGGGGCTGGCAGGAGAACTGGGTCAGCCGTGTAACCATGGAGATGCTGAGGGAGATGCTGAAGCAGCGCCAGCACAGCCCCGGCTCTCCAGAACCCTGGAAAGATTCCCCAGCCCTGGCACCGGCCACGTCCGGCCGGGATGGGGCTGGGAAGCTGAGCTGAGTGAGCCTCCTCGGGGCACAGGGCGGTAAGATGCCCTCTCCTCCTCTTCTTTATTTTTTTGGGGTGCCATGAGCGGGGAGGGCCGAGCCTCGCCGGGGTCCCTGCGCCGCAGCCGCGATCCAAACGCAACAGGGAGCCGGTTTTCCTGCCGGCCGCGCTCATCCCTGCCTTGTGCTGCGCGTCCGGGGGATGCCACAGCCAT